TTGACCATATTTCTACTTTCTGAAATTATTTAGAAACAGTCTACAAAATTGCCTTTTGCCTTGGGATTTAAGAAACAATTGTTTTTACTGGACTATTAAAAATGACTCATTTGTAATAAGTCCACATTAAACATTGGATTTAGGATTGAAGTGGAGGTGGAGTGTTGATTCGGCCAGAATCTGTAAGAAAGCAGTCATTTAAGACAGTCCTTCCTGATCTCCATATTCCTCTTCTGGATATTCCTCAGGAAAGGTTGGGTTTGTCATTTTCTTTTTTTTTTTTTTTGGTTTTCTCCGGTATCGGGAATCAAACTCATGACCTTGTGCTTGCGAGGCAGGAGCTTTGCCACTGAGCTAAATCCCCCACCCCGGGTTTGTCATTTTCACTGGTGGCTACATGTAGAGTTCTGTCCACTGCTTTATACTAAACACATTATATCCTTTGAGAAGGCATTTCTATCAGTTAGGTATAAGTAAAAGGTCAATTTAAACTGATAAATGTTGTGAAATAGGAAAAAAATATTCAAATGAGAAGGGGAACTGGGTGGGGGCAAAGGAAGGAAGGGAAAAGAAAAAATGATGAGAAAAGAAGGAAAAACTGGAAAGAAAGCTTTTGTAAATAAGGAGGGGAAGAGCAGTTGAAGGGAGGGTAGGGGAACAGAAGAAAAGAATCAAGTTACATCATGTGCAAAATTCCCTATGATGAATATGATCATTATGTATACCTAAGTGTAGCAATAAATGTAATTAATAATAAACAAAATGCTGAGGTACCATTTAAAAAAGGAATTATTAGCTCAGGTGTGAAGTCCTCACAGAATGGCAGCTTCCAGGACAAGCTGACCTGCCTCAGATTCTCAAGTTTCAGCACTGTTTCCGATTCTCTCAGCTCTCTCTTCCCCATGAGTGAGTTTCATCTCAAATTGACTTCCTGCACTGGGGCAAAATGAAAAAGCAGCACTGGCTTTCTGCCTACAAACCACAATAGTCAGAAGACAGTATCTTCCGAAAAGTTCCAAACAGAAGTCCTGAGCTTCACAATTACTGAGCCAGCTTGATTTAAATATCCAACCAATGCACCAGTCAGGGCCAGAGGCTGACAGGTGGAGCTCCTGAACCAATTTCAATACATAGCTCAAGGAGGGGTTTAGAAAGTAGAAAAGCTGATCCCTGACCACAGCATCTACATTTCATGGGAATATTTTAGAAATTCAAATCCTTGGGCCTCACCCCCATCCTACTCAAGCAGAAACATTGGGTGTGGGTCCCTCCAGTCCGTATTTAAGCAAGCCTTTCAAGTGATTGTGATACATCCTAAAATTTGTGGTCCATCTCTTACCACCAGGCTCTGTTCATGAGAGAGAAGGGTGAATCACACGTGTTTCACTGGGCCATGACACAATAAGAAAATGCTAGAATGGAGGCTGGGGAAGTTAGCATTACAATATTTCAGAAGGGGACAGTTCTTTTCAGTTCTTCCTTCTGGTGCTAAGGTTGTACATATCAGTGCTACAAATTAGCAAACTGGTTTGAAGATGACTTCAGAGGCCCGTATTTATTAATGTAATAGCCTTAAAGCAAAGGAAATGACAATCGTTAGCATTTTTCTGTGGGCCCTAACCAACTCTCCTCAGGGAACCTGGACACATTTATACATATCTGACAGAAGTAAAGCTACTTAGCCATTAAAACTGCATTGAAGAAGTCATTCTTTATTTTTTTTTTATTTTTATTTTTTTTCCTGGTACCGGGAATTGAACTCATGACCTTGCACTTGCCAGGCAGGCACTTTGCCGCTGTGCTAAACCCCAGCCCCAAGAAGTCATTCTTTAAAAGAGTTTCTTAATCATGACTAATGCTGGAATCATCTAGCATAAGGTTATATATACAGATTCCCAGGCTCTACCCTAGAGCCACTGAATCAGAATCTCCAAGGAAGGGGGCTCAGAGTCTGTCTGGAGGACAACAGTTTCTTCCTCTCTTTTCTTTATTCTACTCCCCACTACCAGGGCCTTTAATTTTTCTTCATCAAATCTTATTCTATCCTGCCCTTCCTACCACTGCCACAGTGATCTTTCTAAAAGGAAGTAAGCGTTGGGTCTCTAAACAAAATTTATCACAAGGCCTTGCCATGCTTCATACAATGATACTGAAAGCCTCAGTGGAGCTTACTAGCGTCCACCTAATCCTGTCCTTGCTTTCTTTTCGCTTTCCTTCCCTTGAACCATGCTGAGTCCTTTGCTTACCACCATTAGTCCAGTTGAACCTCTGAGCCATCTTGAATCCTGGTACTGCCTGGAACGCATCCCCTCTTCCCAATATATTAGTTGGATTAATGCTTGGTTATGGTGCCATAAGAAAACACAGTGAGCAAAGACAAAAAGTTTATCTTTTACTTGCTCTCTGTCAAAAGTCAGCAAGTTTTTTTCTCTAAAGGGCTCTACTTTATGAGCAATATACTCTCTACTGTTTCTTTCCCCTCCTCCCCTTCTCCTCTTCCTCTTTTCCGTACAACATTACATAAGTGTAAAAAATCATCCTTATTCATAGGTCATACAAAAACAGGCTCCTGGCTAGATTTGGCCCATAGGCCCTAGTTTACTGACCTCTGATGTATATGACCACTGCCAGAGACGCACACAGCGGGAGATACATACTCAAATGAGTAGCTCTGAATAGGTCTAGTCATTCAGAAACCTGGGCTAATGCAGCAGCCACTTCTCGAATGTTTTTTGTCATGATGCAGACAAAAAGAGGATGCACACAAGCAATTCAATGCCCCAGTGTAGAAGTGGCACCTGAAACTCTGTTCACAAGTTGGCCAAGGTTAGCCTCTCACTGTACTAACCCTAAGGGGCCAATAGTGCAAACCTACCATGGGTCATGAAGGAGGGAGATTTTTGAATCACTTGGTAAACACAATCAGTACATTCAGTTCAGAGACAAGTTTGGAAAGCCTTTTCTGATACTGTCATTGCTCAGCCAGATTAGCTGTTCTTGTCTTGCAATAGTTTGTGTTCTTCTCTTGTAGTAGATTAAATGCAAGGCCTCCTGCATGCTAGACAAGTGCTCTACCACGAGGCCAAGCTTCCAGCCCTGTCCCTACAGAACTGTTATCATAGCACCTTGAGCATTTCTGTATTATGAGTAACTCTGCTACCATTGCCTACTTCTCTGCCTCCCTCCCTAAGTGGCTGTGTGCTCCCTAACTGCCTCAGGTAAGTGTCTGTATGCTAACTTACATAGCATCTGCCTCCAGAGATGTTCAGTGTGTGTTATTTCAACAAAGAAACACGTATGGTAGGTTGTGGGAGCAAGGAAGGTTGTCTGTACATTTACTAACAGTTTCTGAAAGTTAGCAGCAGTGTCAGTCTCTCCAAGCCCAGTTAGATCAAGCACATCAATCTCTATTCATGACTTATTTTTTGTTATTAATTATTTTCTATATCAATCAATATTTTATAAATCTAATTCCTCCTTCTGATCCTTGTCTTCTAATAATCAACCCCCACTATCAGGGCCTTTAATTTTTCTTCATCAAATCTTATTCTATCCTGCCCTTCCTACCACTGCCACAGTGATCCTTCAAAAACTGGCTCTTGAAGCCATGGAGTGCTGTGATAGGATGTGGGCTGCATTTGCTTTCAGTTTACAGAAAGCACAGAGAAGCCCAGTAACTTTTTCAAAGTTACACAGCCAATCATATGTTGAGTCAAAGTTGTGCTTCTTTAGATTAAACAAAAACGTTACAGGACTGAACACAGAACTGCAGCTTAGTTTGCCAACAGTTTATTTATGCTAGGAAGCATAACACACGTTTGTCAAAGATAAGTCTTATTGTGCCATATCAGTATTGAGCTTGTAGTGTACATTTCTCTCTGAGTAAAATGTTAAAAAAAAACACAAGCCACATGACTGTTTATTAATGTTATGCCTTTTCATATTGATTCCACTCCCAAACCTCCTTTGTCCTCTGTAAACTGATAATACTTTTCAGAACCCAAGAACACCTACACCTAAGGTTTGACAATCCCACCTAAGTACCTGGAAGGTGAAACACACCAACATGCATTTGCACTACTACAGAGCAAAAATTTCACTTGTCCCACATACAACGCGTGTGTGGTCGTAGTAGTTTGTATAACCACAGGGTGTGTCTGCTGGGTAAACTCAGTTCTTAAACGAAGATCCCCTCTGACAAATGCCCAGGAGAACCAGGGCAAGGACAGCAGAGCCAGGCCGTACCTTCTGCTTCTCAGAGCATCAGCAGACTATGGCCGGGACACAGTATGATTGAAATTGCTAAAACTGAGCCAATTAAGATGAAAACTACATAGATAGATAGATAGATAGATAGATAGATGATAGATAGACAGATAGATATGCTTTTAAAAGGTGAGACAGCTGAGTGTACCCTGCCACTCTTGTTAGCTGCTTAACAGATCACAGTAGACAATTTACTTCCGCAGAGGAAAGCGTGCAAGAAAACTAAAGTACATAAAAACCGAATTATATGCTCAGGTACTGTCAGGCACAAAACAAAAACCGCTCATTTCTAGGAGTGTTCCCTTTGCTTCCCTCCTTTTATCTTCTCTAAGCCTTGCAATTGAATGTAACAAAGTATGTCAAGAAAAACAAATCTAAGGGCCCCTCCCCCAAACCAGAAAAGGTTAAGCTTTTAATTACAGGCCCTCAAACTATCATTTTGTGCAATTAGCAATTAACTATAATCGGTGATGACAGAATGCAGAACTGTGCTAGCAATTTGCCTCCTCCTCATCCCAGACGGGGTATTTTAATCTTGCTCTGTTACAGAGGAAAAGCCACAACCGTGCGCTAGCGCGCTCTCTCTTGCATGCACTCCTCCTGACACATTTAAATTTTAGCAAAATGGCATCTCAGCACGCGACTGAGATAGGGATCCCGAACCACACCAAAGGTTCGGACTCCCTGTTCTTCACTTTCTGGTTGGAGAGAGGCCCGAGGAAGATGCTACCTACCGGCCTCAGAGTGCCAGCCTCTCCGAGGGGCGCAGGAGAGGGCGGCACAAAGACGTTTGCTGTCCCTGGAAGCTGCACCTCACCCCAGACAGCGGCGACAGCCCCGTTAGTGGGGAGGCGAGGGCAACAGCAGCAAGAGTTACATCAGCGCTAACTGCTCCTGCTGCATTTACAGTCGGCGGCTGCCGGGAGGGCACAGTAAAGACTGTAGGGAGCGCACAGCTGCTGCGCCGGCAGGTTCCCTGGATCAGGAAATTAGGACAGGCACCAGGGATTGGAGGCGAGGGCGGTGCGCGAGCCAACCAGCAGCCGCCCCGGGCCCCGTGAGCCCCGGGCAGACGCGCGGAGCAGCCGGGCCCCCGGAGCAGTCCGGATGGCGGCGGCAGCCACGGCCACTGCCACTCACGCGCGCACGCTCGCACTTGCACACACACTCTCACACCCCCGGCGCTGGCACCCGGCTGCCTGGCGCGTGTACGAGGAGCGCGTCCCGGAGAAGGACGGCTGAAGCCACCGCGCCCCCCGCCCCCCGCTGACCACTCCCCCTCCTGCCCCCTCCCGCCGCTCACCCGGCGCTCCGGCCGCCGCCAGTGTGGGTGCTCCGCGGCCAGCTCCGCTCTTCTGCCTCCTCCTCGGCTCTCCACTCCCCACCCCCTCCTCCCCCCTTCTCCGCTCCCCTCCCCTCCCCTCCTCTCCCCTCCTCTGCAGCGCCTGCATTATTTTCTGCCCGCGGGCTCGGCTTGGAACACCGCTGCAGACCAGGGAGGAGGGTGGGTGGGTGGGTGGGCTGGCTGGTGGGGAGGAGATTGTGCAAGTTGAGGGGAGGGGGTGCCCTCTTCTTCCCGGCTCTTCCCTGCTCTTCCCTTTCCCCGTCTAACTCCTTCCCCTTTCCCTCCCCTCCCCCCTCCCCGCCCCCACCTCCTTCCTCCTTTTCGAAGGCTGGTAACTTGTTGTGCGGAGCGGCGGCGGCACCATCCAGGCGGGCACCATGGGCACGTCCGCGCGCTGGGCGCTCTGGCTGCTGCTCGCGCTAAGCTGGGCGCCCCGGGAGAGCGGCGCCTCGGGGACGGGTGAGTGAGGACGCGCCCCTCCGCGGACGGCTGGGGCGAGCCGGGGCGCGGGATGCGAGTGCCGCGCGTGCAGGGGCCGAGGAGCGGGCTCCGCTCGCCCACCCCCTCCGCGGAGGCGCCCTCCGCGCTCCTCGCCTTCTTTCCCTCCCACCCTGGCGGCGCCTCCGAGCTGTCAGCGCGTCGGCCGCTGGAGCTCGGCCTGGGGGCCAGTGGGTTTTGGGGTGTTGCAAAGCCTCGGCCCGAACTAGTCTGCATTGCCCGGGACCCGCTGCCCCTGGGTCGCTGTTGGGCCGCGTTTCTCCGCACCTTGACAGGGGCCGGGAACGTGGGCTGCTGAGCCCTTGAACAATGGTTCTCGCTGCTCTGCCAGGCGGGGTGTTAGCAGCGAGGCTGAGAGCGGGGCCTGGCCCGGGGCTGCGCGGGGTCCCGGGCGCGCCCCTCGGACTTCGGCGCGGGAAGGTGGGCGTCTCCGGGGGCCCGGGAGCCGCGTCCTGGCGCGGCCGTGAGCCGGCGCACGTTCGGTGGGCGGCAGCTGGGCGGCTCCGGAGCCACGCGAAGTGCGCAGCCTGCGCACCCGGACTGCGACTCCCGGGGAACCGGGTCGTTCCTTGGCGTGTGTGTTGGAGGAGGAGTGTGGCTTTAAACAGGACTCTCCCGAGGTGCTTCGCCCCTCCCCTGTGCACCTCCTCGGCAACGTTTGCAAACCTCCCGGGCGTCCCCCGTCGCTGAGCGGGGGAGGGGCACGGGACGCTGACTTAACCAGGTTAGTTGGCAGATCCCGTCCCCGGGGACGCTTCCTCGGGAGGCACCGAGTCCTCCTGGTTATGACTGCAATTGGCCTTCATTCTAAACAATAGATCAAAGAGCGGCGGCGGAGGCGAGCTGGTGCGCGCCCGGGGCTTGTTGGCCAGGGCGGGAGACGGCCGTCGAGTCCCCGGTGCCCCTAGGGCCTGAGCCCCGCCGGGCTGCAGCCGCTGTGGTTCCCCGGCCGAACAACTTTCCAGGGCAGGCGACAGGAAGCCTTTTTAGAGGGCTGGGGGGCGACCTGGCGGGCCTGTTGAAGCGATCGTCAGAGGCCACGCCGAGGGGCTTGGGGCCGGGGACCCGGGACAGAGGCCACCCTGCCTGGCGCGCCCCCGGAGCCTCAGCCGCCCCGCCTCCCTGCCTCCTGTCGCCTGGTGGTCAAGGGGGCCCGGCTGCCTCCAGTTGCGCGTCGCCTGAAGTGAGAGAGAACTTTCAAGTGCGTGATCGGGCAGCCTGTGGTCGGGAGGCACTTGGGGTTTGAAGGCTGCCAATGCCCCCTGCCCTTTGGGCCTTGGTTCCACTGTCCCGAGCGTGGGAAGCCGCCGGGCCGCCGTGCGCTCTGCGATTGGTCGCCGCCGGATCCCACTCGGCGCGGTCACGTGGCCGCGGACTCTGACAAACGTAATGGCAGCTGCGGCAGGGTTATCTTTGAGCGAAAGTCAAAGGCCCGCGCAGGCTCGGCGGGGCTCTTCCCTCTGACACTTTCTCCTGCCTGGACTCTCTGAGAAAAGGAAAGTGTGTGGAGAAGATGGAATGCAGCGTGTGAAAACCTAACAGGCTAGAAAAGCCCCGCTTGCAAGAGTTTTTAGGCGTTAATATTAATCATTAATGGAGACCAGTAATATAACTTACTAAACAATCTCTCAGGATCGCGCCACGACTTACATTAACATTTTTTTGCAACATTTCTAAACACTAAGATGTGACAAAACTGTTGTCAGCTATCCAGGGAAGTGACCCCCCCCCAAAAAAAAAATCCACAGTTGCTGCATATTCCTTCATATTTTTGGAATTGAAGAAGTAATAGCTTTCCATTAGAGATTAACATTTCCGTATAGAATGAGAGGAAGGGACCTAAACTGTTGAGTTAGTCAAAGCCATGTGTTCCCCTTGTAATTGGTAGGTGAGGATCCCTTTTTGGGGGGTGGTACTGGGGGGTCAAACCCAGGGCCCTGTGCATACAAGGCAAGAACTCTACCACTGAGCCACATCCCCAGCTCCAAGGATCCCTTTTTCTACTCTCCTTGACACATGTGAAAGAGGTGACATGCCGGAACAGTGGGAGAGAAAAGCCCACACAAACCTGAATTTGTCCCAGGAAGGGACGTTGTTCCTTCTGAACTGGAGCACATTTGGAGTTAGTTGAGGCCGGTATTGACCCTAAGCCAACCCAGACTGGCTCTGTCTTCAGCTCAAAGTCCCAGGACATTTCTGGCTTCGGTCTTCTATGCCCGTCCTTGCTCTCCGGCCCTCCCCTCCCGCAACACACATTTACAGCCCTGGTCCAGAATACTGTAGGACAGGGCAGGTGTGCGTAAGACTGTTGAGAACCCTAGTAAGGCTAACAAGAGAAGTTACAGTACTGACAGCAAATTCCCTGGAGGCTCTAGGACATTTTCCTCCAGTCTAGGTACAGATTAAGATCTGAAGTCCTGTACTGTTTAAGGTCAAAGTGTAAAAGAACCACCGTTTCTTGCGAGCCATTCAGATATAGCTAGCAAGCAGCAGAATAGAAAGAAACTTATCTTTTTGTGGGGAGTGGGTAGATGCAGCAAGAAATACTAATAGATCCAAAGGTAGGAAACTTAAAGGCTAAAAGAAAAGACACCTGGTTTATCCAGGTGAAGCCAAGAGAAAACATGATAGCGATAATCCTTATCTCTCCAAATCCAAGGAAGCATGTCACTGAAGGCAGACTGCCCTTACAAAAGGGTCACCAGCCAAACCACCACGGGCAGTGACAATTTCTCAAAGTGTGAATCAGCTTTGTTCCCGGAGCCTCCCTTTTGCCCACTTTATATAGCCCTTACCTGAAATGCTTATCCTGTGTCATTTAATTATTTTTCCTTTATTCCTCAAGTCTATGTAATGCAAGTATAAAGGCCAAGTTCAGAAGAGCTGTCAGAGGTTGAGAATTCAGTACAACAAACTGCATATGTAAGCATTAAGCATCGCTACCAAGGGTGGTGGCTTCCATCCTTAAAACAAATGCATAACTGATCAAAGTGTTTCTGGTTCTTATAGAATTGGATAACAATGTATTTGACTTCACTTAAGTAGTTTTCTAACAGTTCTGGAAGAGGTAAAATGTCACTACAAATCCTTCTGTTCCAAGAGGGGGACTAAACCAAGACAAAACTGAGGCTGTGCTATATATGCTCTTCTGACAGCACCTAGCAGGTACTCGTTCACTCAGTTGTTAATTAAAAGCCTTAACATAACTAGCAGACCCGAGCATAGCATGCAGTATAGCATGACCATAAGAGCTGGTGAACAGATAGTATGTGGCCATATGGCTTCAGGTTTTGATACAAAAACAGTAAGACCTGATGCATAGCACAAAATATCGATAATTTATAGTAAATAACTGGATCATTTTCTATTTCTCATAGATTGCAAGTAAAATTGTTCCCAGTGTAGGGAATAGTGATCAAGATAAAGCTGTTACCTATTTCACATTATGGCTGGCTTCACTTTCTATATGTACCTTCCATTGGAAAGCCACCTTCACCTGCTAGCCCATGGGAAATTCCATGCATTACAGGACTATGATAAGGTCTGTAATGATGCTTATCAAATATATACCTGCCCCATGACAGCATCTCATGGTGGGGTAAGATAGCTGGTTAGTTCATGGATTAAAAATTGCTTAGTTTGCTTGCTTCTGATTTGAATTAATCTCAGAAGTGCTTAGGTACAGTATGTCAGACTATTTGCAGGGCAAACAGTCCAAAAATTCTTTTTTTTTTTTTTTTGCATTATGGGTGAGATATACTTATTGAATAGACAAGTGACCTAGGGATACTATTTCCTCCAACCATTGCAGGGAAAATCTGAACAGTGTTAACTTTTCTGAGGACTTAGGGGAACAGTAGTTCTAGGAGAATCTGATTTTGTAGCTGAGAACTAATCTCAATTGTAGTCTCCACATTTATCAATGTATATCACTGTCTCTTTCTTAAACTCTGCTTTTGGCTTATAGTAAAAATTCTAGCCAAGAGTATTGGCACACTCCTGTAATCCCATTACTCAGGAGATGAGGCAGGAAGATCTCAAGTTCAAGGCCAGTCTGGAAAACTTAGTGAGACCTTGTTTCAAAATAAAATAGAAAGGGCTGGAATCTAGCTCAGTGGTAGAGCTCTTGCTAGCATTTGTGAAGTCCTGGGTTCGGTCACCGGTATTACAAACAAAATAAAACACAAACCTTTAAACACTGTTAATATAAATGAGTTAGAGACATTTAACTGCTCTATAGGAGCTAACTACAGTGATGGCAAATGATACCTTAAACTTACCCCTGTGAAGTCTCCTAGAAGTTAGTTATTTTGAGACTTTCAGTTAGCAGTTAACCACGAGAGTACCTACTGGGTGCTGTCAGAATAAACATACAGATCTTCTGGAAATATCTTAGCTCCTTTGCCTGCTTTGGGGCTTAGAGATGCTATCTGGGCAGGGGAATATTTCTGGCTTGTATTTAGAGACAACTTTAGGGGAAGAAGCCTTAAGAAACTGGCCAGAGTGACTGATCTTACCACTAGCTTGGAGCATCTGGGTTGGCCCTGGTGGCCAGTAGTCTTTATACATGTAGACATAGTGTTGGTGGTGGGGACGGGGGTAGAGGGATGTGCAATTTGCCAAGCAAAGGAGATGATAAAGACTGGTAATGGACAACATTTGCAAATTACATATAGCTTAACATTTCTCCCAAATATTATAAGTGCATATGGGCCCTATTTTATATACTGCCTGCACACTTTGATTTTCTTAAAAAGCCTAAGGTATAAGTTATTCCCTTGTAGGTTTACTGAGTCAGGTATAAGTTGAAGCCAGCTTCTTTTGTACATCTACTTGAAATGACTTGATGTCCATCTACTGAGCACCTGTCACATGCCATATGGCACCAGGCAGAAGCAACAGTGGCCACATAGTTGGTCCCTTTGTGGCATTTCTTCTAAAGAGGAGGTCAAAATGGGAAA